GCCACCTCCTCCCCCTCATCCTCTTTCTCCTCTCCTCCTCCTCTCCTCCTCCTCCTCCCTTGCCTCCTCCCTCGCCTCCCTTCCTCTTCCTCTTCCACCACCACCACGCAGGTCCCATGGGAGAGCGGACCTCGAGTGCTAAATCCACCGCTCTCACCGCCGCCCGTCCATCACAGAATGTCAGTCGCCATCGTCCCCTGCAGGGAGGAGGAGCTGACTCTTCCTAGTTGGTTCCCTTTTCCTGCCGGCTCCCCCATCCGCCCTCGCCCTCCTGCTGCAAGCCAACCCGGCAGCAGGTGGAGAAGATCAAGAATACATCCGCGACATGCTGCTGACATGCTCGCAGGGGCCCTGCTTCCGGTCCTGCTCCAGCTGCTGCTCCTGCTCCTGCTCCAGCTCCAGCACCAGTTCATCCTAGAGTAGTCCATGCACCCTTGGGTCCAGTGAAGAGGTGAGAGTAGAGGGAGGAGAGGGAGGAGGAGGAGGAGGAGGAGGAGGAGGAGAAGGTGGTGGTGGTGGTGGACGAGGAGGAGGAGGTTGCGATGAGAATGCTGAGTGTCGTGCTGCAGGGGACCAGGGAGCTACAATGACTACCTGGTGAGGAAGCAGTATTCCTCCACCTCCTCCCCCGCCTCCTTTACCATCTCCTCCTCTTCACTCCCGCCCTTCGTCCATCCTTCTCTTCAACATCTACTCCTCCTCCCACTCTCACCCCCATCCTTCTTGTCTTCTTCCTCCTCCTCTCCTCCCTGTCTTCGTCTGTTGCGCTCTCCTCCTTTCTCTCAGCCTCCCCTGCTCTCCAAAACGTCTTCCTAGTAACCACGTGCTGCTCAGGGGAGGATCCCTTTGCCATGGGAGGACGTGCACTACAGGGCACATGACCTGCACCCCTGGATGTTCAAACAGGTGAAGGGGCAGGAGCTGAGGCGTCTCCCGTGCCGGGGGAGATACTGCAGGGTCAGTTTTCTTCCTCCTTCTTTCCCTCCCCATTGCTCTCTCCTCTCCCTTTTGCTTGTTTCTTCTCTTCTCTCTTGTTCCTCCTCTTGACGATTCTGCCTGCAGTCGCGAGCTAGGAGCAGAAGAGGTCAGGGACCTAAAAGTCCGCTAACCCCCTATCTCGTCTTCCTCCTCTTCCTCCTCTTCCTCCTCTTCCTCCTCTTCCTCCTCTTCCTCCTCTCCCCCTCCTCCTCGCCCACTCGGTCTTCCCTGATTCATTTGCTGTCCATTGCTCCCTTTTCCTCTCTCCTTCCCTCCCTCCTCCCCTCGATCCTCAATCGCTCACCCTTGACTATCCTCTGCTCTCAACATTATTCAACTGCAGACTCCTTCACAGCAACAATGATTTTCTCCCCCCCTCCCCCTCCCCCTCCCCCCCTCCTTTCAACTCATCAGTGACACACCAAGGACAGGCAGGAGCTACGAGGCGCCTGTCAAT